CCCTCTGGGCATCAAACTCCAAGCACAGTGCTCTTTGGAGTGGAGGGAGCTCCTACAACTACAGGAAGCCATCCTGGACATCCTGGCAAACAAGATAACAGAAGAGCCACTCCTGGCCAGTGCAGCCCTCTCACATGCCTTGTCCCCACACAGTTAGTTGTTCAGAGCTGCAGGAGCAAAAATATGTGTAGCACTCTCATATTCTATTTCTTTTTTTTTTCCTTCCTTTCTAGCCATGACCCACAAATCACGTTTAGGCCCTTGCGTCTCTCTAAACACCTATCCTTAGAAGGTGGGAAGGGTCAGGAAGGGCAACCTGCTACAGCAGTGAGAATACGACCAGCAGACAGAAAACCTTGGCTGTCCTCGCCAGTGTCCCATATCTCGAGCATGTCCCTTCATTTCTCTGGGCCTCTGCTTCCTTGTTATTAAATTCCTCGTGCTACGATATCGGCTTCCTTATTGCTGATGATTAATAAAGGGTCAGGCTAGGTGACCTCCAACATTCCCTCCGGCTCTGTTTTTGTGAGAAGGAAATATGAGTAACATAAATAGGTGTTTGGCCAAAGGCGTTTGGTCTTTGGACTGTTTTATCTCCATTTTTAATGGATTCATTATAATCAGGTATTTTGATTCATCAAAGTCATATCCAAGCTGGGTGTCCTGGTGCTATTGTGGCATAAAAGCCTAAAGAAATTAGGTGTGAGTAATTTGGATGCATGAAGGCGAAAAGCCCTCATATTCTTATGGGCTTAGCAGCAGATGGATTAATACTATAATGCTAGGTTTTAAAATAACAGTAATTAATGCATGAGACAGGCCCTTTTATCTAGGGTGCTCAAAAGGCCTTGAAGTCATTAACCCATTAATTCACCTGCCTGCAGCCATCAAGAGGTCAGGAGGAATCTTTGTAGAAGACCAGCACAGCCAGAAACTCCAGTCACAACAATGAGGAACAGCCAGGACCAGCTAGCAGGAAGGAGATGGGAGGTGGGGGCTGCTACAATAGTTCTCTGGGAAGAATTCAATGGAAAATTCTCCTTTTGGTCGACTGACAACCATGTAGCCACTCACTGGGCTCTCAGAGTGGATTCTCAGGGATGTTGCATTTCATCATCTGAAAAATCTCTTTACCCTTCATGTAAACTGTAGCTTGACAGCTTCAGAAAAGAGTGACATCATGCCCAAAGCAAGCAGAGGGGGCACTCTCAGAGGAGGACACTGGCACTCTCAGAGGAAGACACTTTTTAAAGTTAAGGAGACTGTAAAGATAGAACACTGCTGTAGAACAATTTTGTCAAGAGTTTTAAGTTTCTGCCTTATTTGTAGGTGGTTTCCATTAAAACTCATCTATTAAAAGCAGACTGCTGGGTGGCACCTGTGGCTCAAAGGAGTAGGGCACCGGCTCCATATGCTGGTGGTGGCAGGTTCAAACCCAGTCTCGTCTAAAAACTGCACAAAAAAAAATCACACTGCTGAAAAGTACTTTTTGAAGGATTAGGCCTTGGCTGCCCATCATGGTGGGCACCTGCTTGGACCATTCCTGGCATTGCCTAAGGCTTTGGCTATTTTATCATTAAAATCATTCAATGAATCAAACCGCCCAGCACCAAGGAGGCGCTCCACACAGGGCCAGATACTATAGGGCATAAAAGTATATTTATAGTCCAGGCTGCTATAAAATCTAACCAAGGAAATGAATTAATAAGTAAAATAGAGATATATCTTATTATTCTTTTATTTCTATTTATTATTACCTAATATATTAATTAATTTTTAAAAATAGGCAGAAAATAGGATGGTGTCGTTTTGAACAGGATGGACCCTAAGTCTTACAGAGTCTGTGGTGGGAGGTGATCAGCGAGGGCTTGGATGATTGATTAGAGAAGGTAGGAAGGTCACAAAGGAGAGAAAACGAGCTGGATCCCAGATGAAGACAAAGTGTTTGGGTCAGAAACAGGATCACTGGGAATAAAGCAAACAGCAGTGTGGGACCGGGACCAACATCTGAGAGAAGGTGAGCAGAAGGGAGCTTGTTTCTTT